AAATAAAACTGCAGTTAAAATAACATGATTCTGTCTTGGATTCCCGCTCCTGTTTATGGTTTCTTAGAATAATGCGTTTGTATTAATGTAAAATCAAGTCCTAGATAGCCGAGGAAACCTTAGCAATGCACTGTTTTCTTCAGTATTTCGATGTGTATGGTTGTGAGTGACAGCTCATTTAGAGTTGCTTTGCTAGAATGTTGGTGACGTGATCACAATTTTTTTTAATCGAAACATTCTCTTGAAATATGCGAATAACTGAATTGTACTTCAGGGACGAAGAAAGTTCTGTCGAAATAATCTTCAACCAGTTTTTTTTTTAATATTCTTTTATTGAATTTTAAAATTGATATATTTTTTTATATGACTGATATGTACCTATTTCAAGTTCAAGTATTAATTAAATAATAATAATAATAATAATAATTTTATTGTCCAACAGGTTACCCTAATGACAGGACAAATCTAAATAATTACTTACGTGAATAACCAACATAAAAATTATAACAGTAACAAAAACATAATTCCAAGTATAAACTAATTTGAATAAAATATATCAGCTACATATCTATCTGCACATCGACACATTGTAGTAATTGGCGAACGACGAAGGATATTAGTTCGGGCGGTGGAGATATGAAAGGCAATCAATTTTGTTGTGAATAAGCTTACACAAGAAGTTAGCCGCATGTAGATCCCTTCGAATCATCAAAGAGGACATCTTGTGTCGTTGGAGAAGACTTTCCATCTCAATACCTCTGGCCGGATAATTATTACCATCAATTTTGAACGAAAGGAATTTCAAAAATTTCCTGTGCACTTTATCAAGAAGCATGTGTTGACACATATAAGTATATGCGATACCATATTAGTGAGGCATACTCTAATTTCGAAAGAACATATGCAAAGAAGAGGGATTTAATTACGTCAATGTTGTTGAAAAATTTTGAAGTTCTCATGACAAACCCCAAAGATTTATTTGCATCATTGCAAATGTTGGTAACATGAATATCAAAAGTCAAGCAGCTATCGAAAGTAACTCCTAGATCTTTGATCGATGTTTTTCGTTCTAATGGTGTACCTTCTATTGAATAAGAAAAATCAACGATATTAAGTTTTCGACAATATGAAATGTAGCAACATTTACTAATATTAATAATAAGTCTATTTTGATAGCACCATTCCACGATTTTCATAAGTTCACGTTGTAAAACCTCAGCGTCATAAAGACTTGAGATTTTAGAATAAATTTTAAGATCATCAGCATAAGCTAAAATACTGCAGTTTAAAGATTCCAAAAGGTCATTGATAAATAGACTGAAGAGGAGAGGCCCAAGGTTAGAGCCTTGTGGGACTCCAGACCTTGACAAAAAACGCAAAGAGGTAAAACCATTGTAAAATACATAGTTGTTACGGTTTATTAAGTAAGACTCCATCAGTTTGAGAAGGGGATAGTTAAATCCAAAGTTATTAAGTTTGCCTAACAGAATGTCGTGAGGAAGAACATCAAAGGCTCGGGTAAAGTCAGTATATATTACGTCTATTTGTTCTCGTTTATCAAGTGCAACACTTAGATCTTGAACAAGCACTGCAAGGTTTGTAGATGTAGATCTACCAGTTCTGAATCCATGCTGTCCTAAACTGATATGCGAACGAGTATTATTGTAAATGCAACTATATAATGCCTGTTCAAAAACTTTGGCAAAATTGCTTAGAATGGAAATAGGACGATAGTTCGCTAGTAAAGATGGATCACCCTTTTTAAAAATAGGACTGATTCTTGCAATTTTCCAAAGGTCCGGGAATGTACTTGTTTTAAGTGCCTGGTTAATTATGATAGACAAAGGTTGGGCAAGTGCGTATCTACAATCACGTATCAAAAAACTGGGGACTAAGTCATCACCACATGTTTGCTTGTTGGATAAATTTGACATGATCAGAATTAAATCCTCTATGCTGACGGAAGACATTGAGAAAGAATTTGAAGAAATAGAAGTAGACTCTATGTGCGTAGAGTTGTTAACAGTAAATACATTGGCAAAGGTAGTACCAAATGCATCCACAATATCCTGAGGTTCCGAAAATATATTTTCATTATTGTCTCTTAACTGACCCGGTATTCTAGAAGTGCCATTTTTCAAATGTAGAAAGCTCCATAAAGATGAAGGATCAGATTTGATATTGCTCTGGACATGATCTAGATACAGTTGGTAGGCATTATCCATTTGTTTTTTAACAATAGCTCTTAATCGTTTGAATTCGATGTAGAATTTAGAATCCTTAAATTTAATCCATTTACGCCTGTAACAGTCTTTTGTTTTTATATTCTGCTTAATCTCAGAAGTAATCCAAGGTGGAAATTTCGAAGAGCTAGAGGTTATACGTGGAACAGATGTATCAAATAACTTATAAAGACAAGAATAAAAATCCTCAAGAGCAATATTTACATCTTCCGGACTTTCTAAAAAAGACCAATCCGCGTTGTTGATGTCATGATATAATTTTAAAAAGTTGGCCTTGCGAAAGTTATAACGAAGTTTTTTTGCTAACGGAAACTTAGAAGGGATACTAGGCATAGCAAAATTAAAGTTTAGATGGAGAGCGGGGTGATGCTTATCTTCAGATATTAAAGGTGGTGTGCAGTGGGAAACTAGGGCTGTACTATTTGGATTGGAAAAAATTAGGTCCAACAATCTGTTATTAATATTAGGGATCGAATTAAATTGTGATAGTTGAACAACGCTGCAGAATTGCTTGAGAATTAAGGTTTTATGGCAGTTACTATGGCTATTACTTGAAAAACTAGGAACGTTGAAATCTCCAACGATTATCAAATGTTCATGCATTACCATGACTTCTAAGGCATTAAAAAATAACTCAAAATCATGAACAGAAACATCGGGTGGAACATATAAAACAACAAATAAGAAAATCGTATTTTCGTAAGAGCATTTACAAATGATTACGTCAATGAGCGGTACCAAATCAGTAAGATGTTTGGTATTTATTACCGTATATTTGAATTTATTTGAGAATGCAACTAATACTCCACCTCCTCTAGAGGGACGAACCAATGAAAATTTTCTATCACAACGAATGACACTATAATAAGAAGGAAATATTTCAGAAGTGAGAATGGAATCATGTAGCCGAGTTTCACTAATTGCGATAATGTCAAAAGTCAGATCGCAACAACTGACGTAAAAAGAATGAGATTTGGAAGCAAGTCCACGAACATTTTGGTAATACAGACTTAGTGTTGGATATCTGCTGGACTGATCTAGTTTTCCGACAAGTTTGCAATAATAGTAGGTATGCCATTACGATATTGAATTTTCAAATTTTTTTCACCCTGAGCCAAACGATTGTCAAGTGCTGCCCTTACCGATTTATATGCATTAATTTGCGTGGGAGTACGATCCATTGAGATGTTAATGTGGGACCATTTATCCATTGATTTTAAAGTTTTAAAGTTTTTGATCATACTTGAAACATCTTCAGGACTGGACAATGTAACTTTAATAGGACGCGCTCTATTGACATTTGTTGCATCAAATTTACCAAGACGAACCGGTGGAACAGTTGGCAAGTTAAGTTTTGACTCAGATATAAAATCATTGACAAGAGAACAATTAGCAACATTTTGTTCTTGTTTTGAGATACCGTTAGATTCTTTAACGTTGAAGATAATTATGTTGCATTCACGTTTTTTGCGTTCGGTTATTTCGTTGATAACTTTTTCAGTTTCAATAAACGATGAATCACTGGGTGCAATGGTGGTATTAGCTTTGATAGTATTTTTTAATTGCTGAATTTCGTCTTGTAACATATTTATCATGGAAATTAATTTAGGAATTTGGTGTACACCCTGCTCACACTCTAAACATATGTATTTTAGGCGTCGTGAGGAAGTGGACCTCAAGGCTAAGCATTTTAGATCCTGCTGAGAAAGTTCAGAACAGGCTGTATGGATGGGTTAATAACCACAATCGGTAATAAACTAATAAATAATGTCTTTTCTACTAACAAAAGAATGTAGTAATTTTATATATAAAAATCGCAGTGGTAGAAAGATCGTTCTACACAGTTCGCACGAAGTTTTGATTTACATTTCATTCATTTATATGAATGGCAACATTATCCCTCCTTTCAAGTCGTAAATTTTCATTTTCATGATTGTGAGAAATGAGTATATAAGACTCCAAGCTGGTTGCACATAAGTGTTTTTTTATTATAAAACATAGCAAAGAAAAAGTTTAGGCAATACACCATTCATCCAATACTTTCTTCTTGGGGATTTTATTCTAGTAAAATGAGTTTTTAACCGCTTGTTCGATCCCGATTCAATGTCAATTTTTGTATGTTTTCTAATTTTCCGACATTATTTAAAAAAGATTTCACATTATCGAACTTCAATACTAGGGCAAAAGATTAGCAGTTAAGCGTCCGTTGGTAAAAGTGCCTTGAATATGTTAGAAAAGTCAATAACTTTATAAATAACTATAATGTGTATCAATTATATCGTATGTCTTTAGTATTTCTATATTTTATGTTTTGCTGCAGCCCTTATATTTTCACCGAACGCTAACCGGCTCGGGTCACTAACCCTGCTATTGTACCGTCCAACCTCTCATAATCATGTCATAAAATTTTACTGGATACAAAAATAACGTTCTGTCTATTAGTTTCTGTGGCTGGCCTCCCATCTAATTGCCTAATTCACCTAATTTACTGAAACACGTAACAAAAACCCCGCCGGAAACTTGTTTGAAAATCTGAAAAACAAAAGTTTCCAGATGAGCTGTCTGTTATTTCTGTTTTTTTTTTGCCACATCCTGGTGCGGGTCGATGAAACCGATTTACATACGGGTGGAGTTTAGCGTTCATTCGAACGGATTATAAGCCTGCAAAGCGACCCCTTCGTATCTTGTATGTTAATCAAGACCCCAATTTATCCACCATATAGACACGATTCAGATTTAATTCCGTATCAATTTCAGCCCATTTCTGGAGCCGTCGACGTCGTGAAAAACCCCTTACCCATCGGAGATGTGCCCGCACCGCCGCCACCTTCTACGATGCCCGTCATCACCAACATGCTACCTCTTGACATGGCGCTGCATGAACCCAATTTGCCAGAAACGGAAACTTATTCGGTCGAGTTGAGGAAAGATGATCTAGGTCTGGGAATAACAGTAGCGGGATATGTTTGCGAACGAGGTGGGTATATTGTAGCGGTGGCTCGAGTTGTGGAGCAAATGAGCAATTTGGACTCCAAGAATTTTATGAAAAACGATATGTTAAATGTTTTAAGTTATCAAGTAATATTTTCAAGTGTGCGCAAGAGAATCAAAATGATGAGCTATATTCTATCTCTACTGTAAAATTTGATGTGGGTAGCGTGAAAGATGATTGTTTTGTTATGCAAGTTACGTTTGGGTAAAACGAGATGTATTATTAGTAAACAGGTCAAACGATTTTATGATGTTCGACCTTAATTTTGTTAGTCTTCTCATCTGAACATTTCTTTATCTAACTAGGTAGTACTGCACCGCGATTTCGCCTCCTATTTTTCATTCTAGTTGGTGGTACAAACATGAAACAACAACAGTTCTTGCTCCAGCGGATTAAGCAACACAGTGCATGTACGGAAAACACACGTAATTCTAATAATATGGCGTGAGCCTACAAATCATGCGGATGATTGCTATTCATTTAATTCCAATGACATGACATGAGCCTACAAATCATGCGGGCGATTGCTATTTTCGTTGCGTCAGCATTGTTCGATTTTCAACAAAAAATTAAAAGAAAATTACTTATCCGTCCAGAAATTGTCTCACGAGCTTTTTCACGATGTCAATTTACCTGTTCCGAGACCTTCAACTTACATATTACCTTGTGAAGATCAAACGGATTACGAAAGTTGTTCTTTGTTTGAAGACGGTAGTCATGATATCCTTGAAGGTATTTTTATTATCCAAAAAAACTGCTTGCTTTCCGATTAAAAGAAAAATCTTCGGAAGAGCGAAGATTGTAAGTCTTTGGAATAGTCGTTCAACAAAGAACTATTTATTAAACGTACATGGAAAACAAGAAAATACAGGTATTTCTTTCACCCTTGTTGGCAATCCAAGTTAATCAATATCAAATATTGTGTCAAAGTCGTGGTCGAAAAGCTTTGATTAATTCATTAAAAATTAAAAAAAAGTTACACTTCTGTATGAACTTTGACTAAAACAGAACCTGCGGCTGGGAACAATTTAAATGCGTATGTTCAAACTTCCTAGGCAAAAAGAAATTTCCAGATGTAAAGAGTGTTATCGAGAAACTTTTAAGTGCCTATCAAAAAATGGATTGTTGGATGCCACTCAAACTTTGTTTTCTACATTCACATCTACATTTATTCTCTGAAAATCTTGGTAAAGTCAGTGACGTGCAAGGAGAAAAATTTCACCAAGACATTAAAACTGTGGTCGATCGATATCTGCATGCTGTTGTCATGAAGCACTGGACACCGTACATCGGAGATACATCCAATATTGTCACTCTTGAGTGCTAACTATTTACTTAAGTCTTTTTTTTTACAGGCAAAAGCTGGCTGATTCTGTTACATTATAGAGTATCTCTGTGTGAAACATGTTTATACTTTTTGTTGTATTTCATTCTGGCATTTGGCTAAGCCGAAACATATACTAGATTCAAAAATTTTGATGTTCTTGATTTGTAAGTCTTCAAATAAGTATATTTTTGAGAAAAAAGTGACCATGTCAAATTCTTGTTCTTATATTGTATAATTTTCTTATTATAAATATTTTGAAAAACAAATACGTACCGGAAAAAATGTGAAAGCAGATTCATAATCAGAAAAAATTAGATTAGGAACATGCATTTTCATTTCTGATTATTACAAGAAGTTTCATTTTGTAAACCAGTGTAATTTACTCTAACGGGAATTAAATTTCGTGCGAAAGAATCGTAAGGCACGGACAGAATTTAAGTGATGAGCTAAGTTCTTCGATCCACCACTTGCCCATAAAATTTACTTTGTACTTACAAGTTGTGGAGAGCATAAAATTAGGCAGCAATACGACTACGCTGAGCAGGATTCAAGTCATGCTTCCGCTGTTTATTGCTGAATTTTGTGTGGGATTAGTGAAGTAAACGTCCTTTTCACGCCCCGAGTGCATTTTAATACAATTTAACAAATAAAATGTTCGTAAGTGCTCGACAAATCGATATAAGTTTAAAATAATTAATTCCCATTAAAGTTATTGACACTATTCCTGTGACTTTAAAGATGCTTCTTTCCGTGTACACGAATCGCTACAAACTTTAAAACATTTCCTTAATGTACCAATTTTTAGAAAAAGTAATATTTAAAATGCTTAATTTTATAAACTTCTTACAGATTTTGTCACGCAGTAAGTAAATTACAAGGCGGCAACTTTTTAGTAGTTGGCTAAGATTATTTGAATTTACGAGATAAGTTGCAGGAATGCTATATTCTGCAACTTATATAAGCAAGACTGATATGACAACAATGCAGTTACAATATAAATTGTAGGGCACATTTACCTACATCTAATTTTTTAACGCAGCTCTACCGACTTAAATAGTAGTTTCCAAAATTTTCGTACTAATGATTTTGTGACTACTTCAGAATTTATTTTATATATATAAGGTATTTATATTTATATTTTCCAATTTTATTTTTTTTATAATTGTTTTAATAAATTTTGGTTTGTGATAGTCTTAAAGTACATTCAAGATTCCACGGCATTTGTTCGGATATAACGTGTCTTATAAAATCGTCAATAGCTTTGGGGGACCATGGTTTTCGTATTGTATGAGCCAAAAATGTGAAGAAAACATGAAATTAGTACCTGCTGTGCTATTAGTGGTTTTGATTTTGTATTTATTTTTAAAGGATTTATTTAAATGAATTTAGTTTTGTATTCACATTTCTAGAATTTATTTAATTTTTTATTTTATTTGAATTCTAAGAAATGAATTTATCTATGACTTTACAGAATTTATTAATTAATTAGAATCAAATAGCTAGTTCTTTATCAGAGTTTGGTGGTATGTTCATTTTTATCTATAGATAGTGACTATTTTGCATTGTTTGTGCATAAAGATATTTTTGAAGACATTTACGGAGCATTAATTTATTTATAACTGGTAATATGTCCCTCAATAAATTAAGAACTCCCTGTTTATGTGGATTGTAAAAACATACATCAAATGAGACATTTCCCAATAAATCTACAATTACAAAACACTGTTCAACATCAGCCTGCTAAAACAACGCCCACAACAAAGTCTAAAACATCTGAAGATTACGTATAGGTAAAAGTAGATGAAATAACAGATCGTTGTAAATGTAATTTTCGGTATTTTGAATCCTCAGATTCCATATAAACCTCTACCGAATTTCGTAATGTGATAAAATGCCGAGGAAATTTGTGAAACCGGTTAACAAAGCTATTCTTAAAGTGTCAAGTTATTGGGTAGAAAATCTGTTACTTGCTATGTCTGATCCTGTAGCGGTCATGTTGAAAACTAGCTTGTCTTACTGATGTATTTTGTGGCCTTTGTAATCTAATCCTGCGAGAACTTCCAAAGTTAAGGCTTATTTTCGAATTTTTCTACAAAAAGAGGCACGGCCAAATTTGTCTTGTAATTATTCGATGGGAAAGTTGTTCAGAAGATATACTTTTTCACTCAAAATTTTATAATAATTCGAGATTTTCTGCAGAGTTGTCAGAAGATGTAATAAACTAGTAAGCATTAAGGGAGTGTATATATCTTTCACGCAAAACTGTGTCATTAAAATGGCATTTGTATATAAATATGAATTGTGTATAAAAATCTAATGTAAATCACAATGGATTTTTTTTGCTGAGGAAATGATTTATCTGGAAATGATAATTTGGCTCACTTTTTTTTAAATCTTGTAACAAGTACCTACTTGTAATCTCGAAAGGTATTGTTGTAAATAAGAGGAGTTTGGGGCTCCTGGTTGTGGCTGTTCTCCTACCCACGACGGTGATTCTATTCTATTGCAAGCACTGCCGCACAGCACTACTCCATCAGGAACATGCCGTACGAACAGGCCGTTACGGTCGCAAACTCGTGGTTGGGTCCCGGCTATGGACAGAAGCCGACAGCGTTACGTCATCCCGCCAGCTCAACAAGGAACCGCGCACTCCGCTTCCGCTACGTGTTTCTGTGTTTTTCAACCTCAATTCCTATGACTCTGATATTAAACTACAACTGAACGAGTATTAAGTTTCAAAAAGAGCAATAAACAACATTTAAATTCGCCATACACTCTCGTGAAATATGATGAAAATATTAATCATCAAAATATTTACATGAAAAAAAAAACAGCAAAAATTTATAGAAACAAAAAAACATCTGGTGAAATAAAACTTGCAGACAAAAATATTAAGTGAGGTTAGGAGCTGCATGAATATTTACGTTGAATTTAAATTATGCAGCAAAAAACATTACTGAAGCGAAAATTGTGGGGTAGAGAAAAATTGTATACGGTGAAAAATATTGCAAAGCTAACAAACTTAAATGAGATTCATATTTTGTGTACATTCGAGTTATTGTTCAAATTTTAAAAAGTAAAGTTATTCAGCTGTATTTTGGGCCATTGTTATACATTCTCCCAAACAAACACATAAACAAAAAACATAGCAGACAGTCTGGAGGTCCAAAATGGCGTCGGACCAAAGCGTCGTTCCAAAAAAATATGCGTCAAAAATATGCAATCTAGAAATGCGATCCATCCGGTGGCATCGTGCAAATAATGGTCTAAATCAAAGGAATGAAATGCACGTCCCCCATGACCCACAGTGTCGCTAATTTGTTCAATAAGATTTTACAGTTCAAACACGTGCTGGGTTTAAAAAATACGCTTTCGACATGGCCGCTGCCAGAACAAAAAATTTACGTGGTGCTAAATTATGACACACTTTATCAACGATTCAAACAAAGAATTTAAATTAACTACGTGTGTGGGAGAAACTGTGGCGTCGTCGTCGTTACGATTAATTTTCGTTAAACAAAGGCTCTCCCTTTTTTATTAACTACCAAACCAACTAAATTTAACCTAGCTTTTTTACCGCATATTTCACTCACACGAAAACAAAACAAAGTGACGCGCCACCTACACCCTACCAAATAAGTCGTCTTCTCGCTACCAA